GGACTCCCCCAAAGCTGGTTTTACATCTGAGAACCCAACCCTCCCCTCCCACCCCAATCCTTCTTGAGCCCAAAACTTTGCGGCCAGCTGCCATCCATCACTCTGTGCTTTTCTAGGTCTCCCCTCCCCCATCCTCCGGCCTCATCCCTGTCTTTTCCCCCCGCGACCCCTGATTCCTAGCCTCCACCGCTCCTCAGGGCCTGATGATGTGGCGACCGTCGCTTCTGCTGCTGCTCTTGCTGCTCAGGCCCGGGGCCCAGGGGAAGCCCTCCCCCGAGGCCGGCCCCCATGGCCAGGGAAGGGTGCACCACCAGGCTCCCCTGAGCGAGGCGGCTCACGATGACGCCCACGGGAACTTCCAGTACGACCACGAGGCTTTCCTGGGACGAGAGGTGGCCAAGGAATTCGACCAACTCAGCCCAGAAGAAAGCCAAGCCCGTCTGGGGTAGGAGAGGGAGGGGGGCTGGAAGACTCAGGGTTGTCGTTTAGAACAGGGAGGTCAGGGGAGGTAGTGTTGGGCTGTGTGGGTATGTGTGGGAATTGCACTCCAGGCCGGGAGACAGTAAGTGCAAAGGCCCGGAGGCCTGATGTGTTTGAGGAACAGTGAGGTCCGTGTGGGTGGAACCGAATGAGCAAAGGGAGAGGGTGGCGGCCCCGGAGAGGGAACAAAGGGGTGTGCGGGGCCTTTGGGGCCATAGTGGAGATTTACGCTTTTTCTCTGAATAAGATGAGAACCATGGGGAGGGCTTTAGAGGGAGAATGTGATTGGCTTGATTTTAATGGAATCCCTTAGGTTCCTATGTGGGGAATAGACGAGACCAGTGGTTCTCAACCTTCCTAACGCCTCGACCCTTTAATACAGCTCCTTATGTGGTGGTGACCCCCAACCGTAAAATTATTTTCGTTGCTACTTCATCACTGTAATCTTGCTGCTGTTATGAATCGTCATGTAAATATCTGATCTGCAGGATGTCTTTTCATTGTGACAAATTGAACATAATGAAAGCATAGTGATTAATCACAAAAGCAATATGTAATTATATGTGTGTTTTCCAATGGTCTTAGGCGACCCCTGTGAAAGGGTCGTTCGACCCCCAAATGGGTCGCGACCCACAGGTTGAGAACCGCTGGACTAGACCCAGCGAGGAAGTGACTGCAGAGCGGACGGCGCCCAGACCAGGGTGGAGATAGTTGTGGCCGCCAGGCCTCTGGCTGAGAGATTGTGAAAAGCAGTGAGAAGCTAACACACTCAGTATAGCACTTACTGCAATGCCAGGCACTGTTCTGAGGGCTTTACAAGGGTTAACTAACGTATTCCCCACAGAGGGGGGAAGCTGAGGCACAGAGAGGTTTAGCGACCTGCCCACAGTCACACAGCCAGTAAGAGGAGGCTGCAGAATTTGAACCTGGCGTATCTGGCTGTGGCGCCCACGCTGTTAACAACAGTTCAAAGCTCAGGGTAGAGCGTGTGTGAGAGTCTTGGGGACAAAGCCCGTCCCCCACGGATCCCAGCAGAGACTGCCTGGCCCAGGAAAGGGCAGCAGGACCGACCCAAATTCTACCCTGGCGACCGGGTCGCAGAGGCTTAGGGACAGTGACAGATAAGGCTCCTGGAGCGCTCGGTTAGCGGTTGGGCGCGGACCCAAACTGGGGAGACCTGAGAGACGGGGTGTGAGGTGGGACCTACCGGGGTTTGACATGCGCCGGTGGGGAGGGGGACAGTGCACAGCATCCGCCGGAGCACGAGGAGGGGACGCGGGAAGCCAGCCCGCGAGGTTGCGGATGATGGACGAAACCTAGGTCAATGCCTGATCACGGGTGGAAAGGGTAGGGGACGCACCAAGGGGCAGGACTAGAGGGAGAGGGGCCTGAAATTGACCGGCACGTCCAGGGAGTCAGAGGCCGGCTTTTGCTTTTAATGTTTTGCTGTTGAGACTGTTGCTAGAGGCAGCCTTGGGGCGGGAGTCCTGCGGGACGGGGCGCAGCGTGACGCCCTTCCCGCTGTCCCACTCCAACTAGGACCAGCGGGACGAATGCCTGATCACGGGTGGAAAGGGTAGGGGACGCACCAAGGGGCAGGACTAGAGGGAGAGGGGCCTGAAATTGACCGGCACGTCCAGGGAGGAGGTGGAGCGGGAGGCGGGTTAGAAGGGAGGGTCCTAAAACTGACAGCGCCAGGGAGAGGGGCGGGGCTTGAGGCGGCGAGGGGTGTGTGGCTTTGTCAGCTGCTCAGAGGCCGGCTTTTGCTTTTAATGTTTTGCTGCTGAGACTGTTGCTAGAGGCAGCCTTGGGGCAGGAGTCCTGCGGGCCGGGGCGCAGCGTGACGCCCTTCCCGCTGTCTCCACTCCAACTAGGACCAGCGGGACGGGGAACGCGGCAGGTCGAGGGGCGGGGCCAGAGCGGAGGGCGTGGCCCTGGATTGTCTTAGGTTCTTCCCCCATCCGGGCGTGTCTTGGGCCCCAGCGCCAATCATAGGCCCGCTGGGTGTCGGAATGGGCGGATCGCCTCGGGAGGCGGAGCCTTGGTTGAAGGGGCGGAGCCCTGAAGTGGGCGTGGCCTCAGGATTGACATGTGCCTCCCCCAGTTGGCGGGCGACTCGACCTTATTCTTAGTAGGAGGTGTGTCTCCAGGGGGCGTGGCTATCGCGTGAGAGGCGGAGCCTGGACGGCGGGATGCCCCCCTGTAGGCAGGTCCCGAGATTGACGTGTTCCCCGCCCCGGTCCCCAGGCGCATCGTGGACCGCATGGACCGCGCTGGGGGCGGGGACGGCTGGGTGTCGCTGGCCGAGCTCCGCGCGTGGATCGCACACACGCAGCAACGGCACATACGGGACTCGGTGAGCGCGGCCTGGCACACGTACGACACGGACGGCGACGGGCGTGTGGGTTGGGAGGAGCTGCGCAATGCCACCTATGGCTACTACGCGCCTGGTATGCGGGAGACCCCGACCTCTGCTGCTCACCTACACCGTGACCCGCCTTTTTGACCCCTACTAGTGAGAACCTTTAGCCCATTAAGTACAATCTCTGACCTTTGACCCCTGATGCTTGACCAGGGTCTACTCCTAAGACCCCATTACCCTGAAACCACCGATCCCGGATTTCTGGCTTCTCATTGTGGCTTCCACGGCCTCTATAACTCTGGGACCTGGGGATTCAGATCCTTGACCTGGGACATCTACCTTCCATGCCCCTGACCTCTGACCTCTGATCCTGAGAATCCCAAAGCCATTTACCCTGCCCGATGATCAATGGGTTCCCTCCTCCCTGTCCACCCTCCTCCCTTTCCCCATGCCCAGCCCTGGGCCCCTCTAGCTCTCGTTCTCTCCCTCCTGTACCCTCGCCCCAGCCTGTCCCTCATATCTCCCCAGAGGGGTCTTTCCACACCCAAGGCTTCCCCTGACCTTCCCGGCTCACAGCCCCCCATGACTCCCTGGGCCCCCAGGAGACAGCCCCAGCTCCTCAGCCCCACCTGGCTTACCCTCTAGCTTTGTTTTTCTGCATTTTCTGCCCCAGCCAAATGGATCTACCACTGCCCCGAACTCACCACATTCTTCAAACCTCCACACTCCGCACATTCTGTTCCCTCTGAAGGTGCCCTTCCCCTCCTCTCTGCCCAGCAGCCTGAGGCAGTATAACCGACTGCATCGGAGCATGACTGGGGCCCGAGAGCCAGTGTGAACTCAAAGCCCATCATTCCTGACTGTGAGGCCTTGGAGGGGTTATGTCCTCTCTGGGCGTCAGTTTCTCCTTCACAAAGTGAGAATAAGCTGCAGAACTCTGCTCCCCCTTTGTGAGGGTTCAGTGCCCCATATTGTAGCTAAAGAGCCTGGCATCTGGTCAGCTCTAACTGCAAGGTAGCAGATATATGCACATAATGAATATGTATTGTGTATGATGAACGCAGTGGAGGTCTGCCTGCCCTCCCCCTCCTTTTAGATCCCTTTGTCTTTCTCTTCAGCGCACCTGGTGCCTCCGTGAAAGCACATCTCAGCCACTCCTCTTTCCCAGGTGAGGAGTTCCACGACGTGGAGGACGCGGAGACCTACAAGAAGATGCTGGCCCGGGACGAGCGGCGTTTCCGGGTGGCGGACCAGGATGGGGACTCGATGGCCACCCGGGAGGAGCTGACAGCCTTCCTGCACCCGGAGGAGTTCCCTCACATGCGGGACATCGTGGTGGCTGTGAGTGAGGGCCGGCCGGCCAGTGCCTCCCTTGGGAGTTCTGGTCCCCTGGTCCCCCTGGCACCTGCCCTGGGAAACCCAGGCCACAAGGGCCGGTCAATGGAGGGCGACATCTCCCATCCCACCCTGACCCCCCAGTGTCACCATTAGTGACAGGATCTGTACCCACTCCTGCCTAACTCTGCACAAACTACTTTAAAAGTGTAATTGTATGTATCTGTCAAATAGGTAACGTATTGATGTGGTTAAACGCCCAAAAGATGCAAAAAAAGGTGAACAGTCTGCTTTTCTCCCATGTCCCTCGCCTGTCCCCCTGGCCCGTCCCCACAGATAACCCCTTTCTCATGTCTCCATTTCCATAGCTTCTTTGAGGTTCTATGGCAAAGCTGTCAGGGTCCGGGGCCCTGAGGCCAGAGTCCTGGTTTCCAATCCCAGCCCTGCTGTTCCTGGCTGTGTGACCTGGGGCAAGTTGTTTAACCTCTCTGGACCTGAATTTCCTTATCTGTAAAGTGATGGTGCTGACAATGATCCCTATCTAGGGTGCTAATAGGGACTAGATGAGCTCATGCCTCTAGCGCTGTAACACTGGCCCTGGGGTAAATGCTCCTTCAGTCCTTTTAGACACACCTGTCAATAGTTACAGAGTCAGAATCGCTGGACCCTGGGGATCAGAGAGGAGAGATGGCATTAACCCCTTACACGCCCCAGCCTGCAAGCCCAATGTCCCTCTTTTAGTGTGACACCTCCTTATTCTCCCGAGTTAAGATTTATTTAACAAACCCTGTCTGAGCATGTCCTGTGTGCCAGGCACCCTTCTAACGCCTTTACCTGCATTACCTCAATTTATTTTTATTCATTTTTTGTTCACCTTCACCCAAGGATATTTTTTCCATTGATTTTTAGAGAGAGTGGGGTGGGGAGGAAGAGAGAAAGAGAGAGAAACATGGACGTGAGAGACATGGGTCGGTTGCTTCCCCCAAGCACCGTCTGGAGCCAAGGATCAAACCTGCAACCCAGGTACCTGCCCTTGACCGGGAATTGAACCTGTGACCCTTCTGTGTGCAGGCCGGTTCTCTACTCACTGAGCAACACCAGCTAGGGCACATTGCCTCAATTTATTTATTTTTTATTTTTAGATATTTTTTTTTTTATTGATTCCAGAGAGGAAGGGAGAGGGAGAGAAAGAGAGAAACATCAGCAAGGACAGGGAATCATGGATCGGCTGCCTCCTGCACGCCCCACACTGGGATCGAGCCCTCAACCCGGGCATGTGCCCAGACCGGAATCGAACCATGATCTCCAGGTCCATAGGTCGATGCTCGACCACTGAGCCATATGGGCTGGGCAAGCCCACGTTACCGCAACTTGATTGTCCATGGCAGCCCTATGGGGGTGGCCTGCCATCTTTGTTTCACAGATAAGGATATCTTATCTGGATTTGAACCTAGACCCTTGGATCCATGGCCTCAACCAGGGGTCTGCAGACTAGAACCCATGTCCAGTGAGCTAGAATCTGTAGCCAAATCCAGCCCAGGGAATGTTTTTGCAAGTAACGTTTTATTGTAACACAGCCACGCCCATTTGCTTACACGTGTCCAACTGCAAAGTTGAGTCAGTTCCACAGAGACTGTACAGCAGGCAAAGCCAAAAACATTTACTGCTGGAGGCCCGGTGCACGAAATCCGTGCACTGGGGGAGGGGGGGGGGGGGGGCGGTCTCTCAGCCTGACTGCACCCTCGCAGTCCAGGAGCCCTCGGAGGATGTCCTACCGAGGCTTAGGCCCAGGGAGCAGGCCTAAGCCGTCAGTTGGACATCCTTAGCGCCGCCGCCTTGGAGGTGAAGGCGGGAGTAGCTCCAACCACCTCGGCTGCACTGCCAGCCATGAGCCCGGCTTCCGGCTGAGTGGTGCTCCCCCTGTGGGAGCGCACTGACCACCAGGGGCAGCTCCTGCATTGAGCATCGGCCCCCGGGTGGTCAGTGTGTGTCATCGTGACCGGCCTTTTCTCTGTTCAGACAATTTGCATATTAGCCTTTTATTATATAGTAGTGGTCGGCAAACCGTGGCTCTCAAGCCACATGCGGCTCTTTGGCCCCTTGAGTGTGGCAGCTCTTCCACAAAATACCACGTGCGGGCGCGCGCGTACAGTGCGATTGAAACTTCGTGGCCCCTGCGCAGAAGCCGGTTTTCGGAAAGGAGATGGACGAAACGAGTGTGCAAGACGCGTGGGGACGGGAGAGTTGGAAGGGGTCGGCCTCAGCGAACGTACCGCAATCAGACTGAGGACGTTTTTAGCAAAGGCCAGCTTAGGAGCACCCCGATTAAGTTAATAACAATGTACCTACCTATAGAGTTTAAGTTTAAAAAATTTGGCTCTCAAAAGGAATTTCAGTCGTTGTCCTGTTGATATTTGGCTCTGTGGACTAAAGAGTTTGCCGACCAGTGTTATATCGGATCTGGCCCTTTATGGAAAAAGTTTGCCAAGCCCTAGACTAAACTCTGCTGTCCTCACTCACATCCGTGGACGGTGAGCGTAACCCCCCCATGCGCAGATTTCAGAACATGACTATGAGCCCAAATTGTTCTTTAAAAGAGGAACTAAAGGAAAGCCACTCATAACTAACAAGAACTTCAGCGTGTGTTTTAGAGTTGTCAGATGTAGCAAATAACACAGGGCACTCAATTACACTTGAATTTATAACAAAATCAATAAAACTTTTAGTGTAAGTATCGCCCACACAGTATTTGGGATTGGTATCCGTATATCTCACATACTATTTGGGACATACGTTTACCAGGAAAAAGAGATGTCTGAAACCGAAGTAACTTAGCACCCTGTCCTCCAAGCAGATCCCAAATATTGTGCAGGACAGACTTATACTGAACAATGGTTTGTTGTTCCTGGGAAAGTGGAATGTAACAGGATCCTGTGTTTGATCTGTCAACCCTCAAACGTCGGAGCTCGCCTCTGCTCGAAGACGTGCTGGAGTGTCAGGTGCCGTGTCGCCTCACAGGGCGTGAGGGTGAATGCAAAAATGAGGAACGGAAGTTGTTTGCTCAAGAAGTGAAGGGAAAAACGCTGAGAGCAGAGGTTTGGAAAGTGTGTCAAAGAGGACACCAACTGCCCTGGCCTGTTTGGCTCAGTGGGTAGGGTGTCGGCCTGCAGACTGAGGGGTCCCGGGTCCGATTCCGGTCAGGGGCATGTACCCTGGTTGCAGGCGCATCCCCAGTGGAGGGTGTGCGGGAGGCGGCTGATCGATGTTTCTCTCTCATCAATGTTTCTAACTCTCTATCCCTCTCCCTTCCTCTCTGTAAAAAATCAATAAAATATATTTAAAAAAAAAAAAAGTACACCAAGTGATGGCAAACCTTTTGAGCTCGGTGTGTCAGCATTTTGAAAAACCCTAACGTAACTCTGGTGCCGTGTCACAGATAGAAATTTATTGATATTTGCAACCATAGTCAAACAAAGACTTATATTTTTCATATTTATTTTATATATTTCAATGCCGTTTAACAAAGAAAAATCCACCAAAAAAATGCGTGTGTCCTAGGTTCGCCATCACTGGTCTAGGCTCTGCCTTTTTGAAAGAGGCCTCTGCCCCTGGAGAGTGTGGACTGGGGCATGAGAGAGTTAGGGATGCAAAATCGCTCTTGGGTGGACCAACCTGTGCATGAGGACACCTGGGTCCCAGCCCGTCCCCCCCACTAAGTGCAGGTGGGGCCTGCATTATCGTGGCACCCCAGAAAGCCCCCGAATTTCCCACATGCCCTTGGGGCAGCAATGCCCTGTTGAGACTGCTCTGCTCCAAGGCCTGGCCCCCCAGCCACCCCGAATGAGATCCCCTGAGTGGAGAGTGTGGGCTGGGGCATGAAAGAGTTAGGGATTTAAAATCGCTCTTGGATGGACCAACCTGTGCATCAGGACATCTGGGTCCCTGGTTCTCCCCGCCCCCCACTAAGTGCAGGTGGGGCCTGCATTATCGTGGCACCCCAGAAAGCCCCCGAATTTCCCACATGCCCTTGGGGACAGCAATGCCCTGGTGAGACTGCTCTGCTCCAAGGCCTGGCCCCCCAGCCACCCCCAATGAGATCCCCTGAGAGAACCTCACGTCCTGACCCCAGGGCTCCAGCCCTAATGCCTTTTCTCCCCA